TTTTGCAGAACTGTTAAAATACTTTCACTGTATCCAAAAACAACCCCATCTCACCAAAGTCACATGTATTCTGTTTTGTTCCAGAAGTCGGGGTACATCTGCACATTTAAAAGGTGATGGTAGAACAACTGCATCCCTTCCCTGGAGATGGAGGGTTCATGTTTGGCACAGGCTTCAGGACTTCTAAGGCAGCATTTAAAAACAAAGCCCAGGTGGCATGAAATGTTGCAAAGATAAAAAGAAAAAGGTTTTGTGCTAAATCAGATTCAGTGTCAGAAAGTGAAAAGAAACTTGCAAGAGGAACATGTTTTTCACTTGCCCCAGGATAATATTTTTTTGATTCCTGCACAGCCAGTGAGTTAGTGCTCTGCTGAAACTCTTTGTTTGGCAAGAAATGTGTGAAAGCTGCTGGGAAACAGCTCATTTCTATTTGATGCTTATAATTCGTGCAGTAAGAGGATTTTCCTGGTGGTGTTTTTGGCACAGCAGCAAGTAAGAATGATAGCTGAAGTGACTTGGGGGTTACTGGAAGACATTGTGTTCGTGTCAGTAGTGCAGACTGGTCCGAGTCAGTGGTGACCTTGTGCTGCCGAAGGGCTGTTGAGGTTCCAAAGGACTGTGCTAGGTCCCAAACTGGCCACGCTGCAGACACTGCGGGAGGAAAACCAGGCACGGGTGCTCTTCACTGTCAGCACTACAGGTACTCAAAGAACTCAAAAACCAAAAGTTTGCTTCGGCTTCTCATTCAAAAAGTTTTCACTGTTTGATTTTGTTTGGGACAGGGAATCATAGAATCATAGAATCCTTTAGGTTGGAAGGGACCTCCAAGATCATCAAGTCCAACCATTGAGCCATTAGGGCTCTAAAGTCCTCTGCTAAAACAGATCAGAATCTGTCAGGGTTGGAAGGGACCACAAGGGAAGGGGCTGAGTGTTGTGTTTTACAGTAAATTTTGTGTGAAGCATGAAGCTGGCGTGGTCTTTTTTAAAGATACTGAGGAAGACTGACATTAGAGTGCCTTGTGCTCAGGACAGGACTGCACAGGTATAAATTTCAGACCACAGTGCCCTTGAGTATCAAACCTGTGGCTGTATCTAATGCGTCTGCAGGGAGCCTTTGTTCTCCTTTTGCTTCTCAGATTCATTTCCATCCAGTAGAATATCATGTTGCAGTGACACTTTACCTTACTGTAACAACTGCAAGCTGTGGGTTTTTTTCCCCCCCCTACTTTTAAAATGCTGATTTGAAAGGACGGCACCTCAGAAGCAGTTTGCTGAGGTGAACATTGTTCAGAGGAGCAGTTATCCTCAAGTCTGTCTGAAATGCTGACAAAGGGATGCCATGAGGAGTTTGCAAATCTGCTCCTTGAGGAAGAAATCGTTTATCAGGTGATCAGTTCCTGATTTGTCCTTTGTCGCTGCATGTGCATGGAAAGGCCATAGGTTGTATCCTTCTGAAGGGTGTAATTGTATCTGTTCTTTGGAATTATATAGTAGAAATCATCAGCATATTAAAGCAAGATGTTTCTGTCAGTGGTGTCTGCAGCCTGACAGCAGTGAACAGCCTGAAGAACAGCAAACGCCGTGTGTGGCCATGGGCGAGAGGCTTTCGGGTGAACGCTCACACCTCGGATGTTTGTCTTCAGTTGGGCAGTTTTGCAGAGTTAAGATCATTCTCGAAACCTTGAGTAAAAGTACAGCTGTTAGTGGAATGGTTAAAAATAAGCTTTCCTCATATACAGCCTTGCTTGAACAGTTTCACTGCGCTGCCGCCTCCCCCCGTTGATAAATGTTTGACCAACCTTAGAACAAGGATTTTGTATTGGCATTTACATCTGAAATGAGGTTGCTTCCTTTAAAAGTTTGTCTTAGCTATTTGATCGCTGTGGACAAAAATAGACAGCTTTTACAAAGACACTTGGACTTCTTACAGGAGAGGAATTGCCGAGAAGAAGTGAGGAGAGGGATGGGACTGAGCCCGTGGCTAAAACCAGCTCTAATTGCAGCTGTTCAGCACTGAGACTACCCTGAGTAACAATCTGTCATGAGATGCTCTGTCCTTGTCCTTCTCCTATTTTGCTTCTGGCGTTTCTCTAAGAGAATAATGTCAGTATCCCAGGAGTCTGCTGCTGCAGAGACAGATACGATAGAGTTTAAAAACTTCATTTTGGGGAGAAGGTCCTTCTGTGGCGTTGGCTTACAGTGAAGTGCCATGCAGCGAAGTGAAATAGAGGCCATCAAGGTTTCAGCAGTCCTCCTTCCTTTTAAAGGAAGTGCAAGTGGAGGGACAAGCTGAGCCACAGGCCAGCCCGGGTCCCAGCTCGTGCTGGGGGCTAGATGTCCTCTGCAGCAGCGTGGGCACTTGGCTCTTGTTAGCAGGTGGGCGCCTGTCAGTCTCTCAGCTCATCTGTGGTGACAGTCACGTTCTGGACCTTTTCCTAGCATTGCCCTTTGGCTTCCCTGCCTCTTTCAGGAGCAGCGTGGCATTCACAGCTGACACTATTCCAGATGAAGACTCTGTAATTAGTTCATCCTCACCAACACACAGCACTGAGCACAGGATGAGTTTCTGTGCTCTTTGATTTCTGCACGGCGTTGACACGCCTCACTTCCTTCTCCCACCATCCCTGTTCTGTTTAACCCGTGATCAGGCTCCTGAAGTGTTCTGCTTTGTTCTGCATCACACGTCAGCACAGGTAACCTGCTTCTCAGTTTTTTTGTTAACATATATCTGTAGGCTCTTGCCCGCTCCAGACGTAGCTGTACTCAAAGCATCTCCATCCTGTTAGCCATCTGTCCTGGCAAACACAGTCCCAGGAATTGTCAAAGCCATTGCATCCCTTGGCACGCAGTTGCTTACAGTTAGCAGAAAGGCTTTGTGTGTTGGCATCCACAGAGGATGTCCCATGATGCTAGATCATGTTCAAGAACATTCATAGGGCAGTTTTTTCTTTTTACTGCCACATTCTTGAGGTCTGGAGAGAGAGACCATTGCTTTAAATCTCCTCTACCCTCTGTTTTGTCAGCTCTGGCAATTTCTTTATGGCTTTAAGCAGCACCCAGCACTTCAGGAGGGTGGTGGAGAAGGCTCAAAGGGCATCCATGGAAGATTGCAGCCCTAGGACCATTTCTGACATCTACTGCTTGACTTAAGCCATGAGTGAGGTATTTTAGGTCTGTTCCAAAATACTCTTTTAGTAGTCTAGTACTGGGTACTCTGGGAGAGCTGACAGCCATTTGCTCTGCTAGAGCTGCTTAGTCTATGTGTTCAGTGCTTGAATTAATGTTTTCTTCTTTTTTTGCATTTTTATTTGACTGTTCAATTCCCTGGACTGTGAGGAAGGGGAATGTTGAATGATTACCTGCTCCATAATAAATTAGTGTGAAAAGGCAACTGGTGCCATGCATCAACTTAAACTGCTGTCTGCTACAGTTGCATTAATGCATATAAATAATGTATATCTTTGCAGAGAAAGTGCTTTGTCTTTCTAATGAACAGTTGCCTGATTGGAGAGGCCAAAAGACTGTACACCCTTGCAAGGAAGGTTTTGTTTCACGTGTGCCTAGATTATTCCAGTGGATTTGTGATCCTGTAACAGCAACTAGGATATATCTCAGAAGAACATGCAAAAGATTTTCAAAAGGCTGTGTGAGAAACCAGCTAGCAGATGACTTTGTGGTTTGGGGCATGGTGGCTCTTCCAGCTCAGGAAGAAAGATCAGGATTTCCCTGTTTTAGTCTTTACATATGTTTTAAGGAGTGATGCAGACTACCAGTAAACAAGCAGTAATTCAGTTGTTGCCATATAACAGGCAGCAAGCATTTCAGTGTCTTGGTTCAGGAATGGCTACAAGAATAACCATGATAGCTGACTAATTAACAGCTAAACCAGGACAACTGCATCACTTGCATTTGACTGATATAAGTCACTAGGTTATGACGTTTGTTGAGTGTTTAAAAATTGCCACTTGTTTACCAAAAAAATATATATTATTTTGCATGTTCTTGGTATCCACAGCAGGTGGTCAGTGACAGCTGGTGCTGCAAATAGCTGTTCCCATCCTGCTGCAGTGGCTGTGAAACCACAGATCCATAAAGTTTGGAAAAGACCTCTACGATCATCAAGTCCAACGCTACCATGACCATGAAACCATGTCTTGAATATGTATTGTATAACATGAGCCTAAAATCCTGTCTGTTCCACAGGCTGTAATATTGTAGTATTACGTAAAGGGTGTAGCTATGGACAGTCTGGACTGTCCCAAGCCACGCTCGGCATCTCTAATCACAGAATAAAACTTTGCTGTGCCAGTTCTCAGCAAGCTGGCATGCATAAGACAGCCAATTAAACAAAGGGCAGGCAGGCAGGGAATTCGGTGGAGGGGAGCTTGTCTGGGCTCCCCTGACATCTTCATGTGTACAGCAAAATACAAATTGTACTTGTATATTGTATCAGTATGAGGGTGATCCAAAGTGACCTGGAGTGTAGTCCTCCTGTAGAGGAGTCTGAATTCCTCACCATGATATGATTTGGGTTCAGCCAAACCCCACTCATAAATGCTTTTTTAATGAAAATTTTATCCGAGATTTTTTTCTTCCTGTTGTGTCTCATTTTGTCACTCAGCAGAAGGAAGCTTAGTTGCAAGGAAAGAGGAGGGAGAGAAAACTTCACTTCTGTTCCATCTCAACACGCTATTTCTGTACTACCTCCAAAATGAAGCATTAGAAAACCAACTCACTTGGGGAAACCTTTCACTGGTTGTTTTATACACTTGCACTGTCACTAAACAGAACGTTTACTGAGTCTGTAAAATGAGGAAAGGCAGAGCCCAGTGTCCTGAGACTCGTGCTGTGTCACTGGGAGCAGCAGCCTGGAGCAGAACTCTTCCACCTTCTGCTGCTGGAAGCCACGCTGTGACCATCAGAGCAGGCAGAAACCCTGTAGATGCGTGGCTGGTGGCTGTACTGCTGCTGATGTCTGTTCTTTTCTCTCCCTGCTAGCTGAAGACTTGGAGTGTGGATGAACTTCAGAGGAGGCTCTCAGCCCTGGACCCCATGATGGAGCAGGAGATTGAAGAAATCCGCCAGAAGTACCAGTCGAAGCGACAGCCAATCCTCGACGCCATCGAAGCCAAGAAGCGACGGCAGCAGAACTTCTGAGCCACTGGTAGAATGTTCTTCCATCCTCAAACAATCAGCTCCTTGCTTTTATGACTACTAAACAGATTGATTTCTATTGAAATACGCTAGCAAAATAGAGGGCAATACTTCTGCTCGTTTATTTTTCCATAGCACCTTTGTGAACTCAGGAATGC